GACATTAATACAGAAATGCTCAATGAAATATTAGCAAACAGAATTCAACAACATGTCAAAAAGATTACACATCATGACCAAGTGGGATTTATCCATGGCATACAAGGTACCTGGGGGTTTGACTGCTCTGCTTGGCCCAGGCTCCTGTTCTGTGGGAAGTGGGTTGCCACATCAGTTCAGGTTTTGTATTAGTCTGTTTTTAAGTTGCTATAATAGAACACCTGACATTGGGTAATTTATAAAGATAAGAGGCTTATTTGGCTCATGATTTTATAGGCTTGAAAGTACATGATTGAGCAGGTGCGTCTGGTGAGGCCCCCAGGTGGAAGGCAATGGTATCTGGCATGTGGTTCCTAGTTGATCATGACTTGGGGATGGGGTGGTGGTTTCAAGGTATTTCCTTCCCTTCTCTATGTGGCCATCCTGGGTTTTGTGCTGTGTATCCTGGGTGGTGGTGTTGTACTCTGGTGCTCTCTTTTAGTTATTTTCATGGAAATTCAGTTGCTTACACATTTTCTTTTCTTCTTTTTGTTGGGAGGATAAATTCGAGGAACTTCTAGTCAGCTATCTTGCTGATATCACTCCTCTTCCTTTTGTTTCTCATGCTTTTGATGTCATATCTAAGAATTCATTGCCAAATCCAAGGTCATGAAGATTTTCTCCTATGTTTTCTCTTAAGAATTTTATCTTTTATTTAGATCATTGATTCATTTTGAGTTAATTTTTATATGTCATATGATGTAGGAGTTCAACTTTGTTCTTTTGCATGTGGGTCTAGTTCTCCAGCATCATTTCTTGAAGAGAGTGTTCTTTCCCCATTAAGTAGACTTGACAGCATGGTAGAAAATCAACAGGCTATAAATGTACAGGTTTATTTCTAGACTATCTATTTTATTCCATATGTTTATATGTCTATCTTTGTGCCAGTACCGTACCATTCTGATTACTGTAGCTTTGTAGTAAGTTCTGAAATTGGGAGGTGTGAATCTCCTATTTTTTTTTTTTATTCTTTTTCAGTATTGTTTTGACTACTCAAGGCCCTTGACAATTCCATATGAATATGAGGGTTTCTCAAAAATCTTGTTTTTTTTTTTTTCCCATTTCTGCAAAACTATGCTTTTGGAATTTTGATAGAGATTGCATTGATTATGTAGGTCACTCTGAATAGTATTGCCATCTTAATATTAAGTCTTCTAATGTATGAACATAGGAAGTCTTTCTATTTATTTAGATCTTTAATTTCTTTCAACAATGTTTTATAGTTTTTAGTGTACAGGTCTTCTACTTACTTGATTAAATGTATTCCTAGGTATTCTTTTAGATGCTTTTAAAAGTGGAATTGTTTTCTTAATTTCCTTTTCAGATTGTTCATTGCTGGCCAGTCCATTTCTTTTAAGTGTCTAGTCCTATCAAAAACAAAGTCAAGGGCCGGCCTGGTGGCACACTCGGTTGAGTGCGGCGCTTGGGAGTGTGGCGGTGCTCCCGCTGAGGGTTTGGATCCCATATAGAGACCGGTCCGCTCACTGGCTGAGCGTGGTGTGGGCATGACACCGAGGGTTGCGATCCCATTACCAGTCACGAAAAAAGACAAAAAGGAAAAAAAAAAAAAAAACAAAGTCAAGGTTTCCTCCCTCTTCAGAGTAACTCTTTTAGAGTGTTTCCTTTTCTTTCTTCATCTTCCACCCACAATTCTTAAAATGTACAATATATGCATTATGGAAATTGGGGGAAAGTGTCAACATAAAAGAAAAGCAGTTTATAATCTTCTGCTTAGTGGCAACTGTTTTAAATATATCAGTATATTTTTTCTAGTTTTTTTCTGTATATTTTTTATAGTAAATAAGTTTAGTAGGCTGAACAACTAGAGATGTCAGGTCCTAATCCCTGGAACTTCTAAATATTATTTTATATGGGAACATGGTCTTTGGATATTTTCAAGCTAAGGATCTTGAGATGAGGAGATTATCCTGGATTATCTGAGTTGGACCTAATGTAATCACATGTATTATAAGAGTGAGGCAGAGGGAGGTTTGACTACACATAGAAGAGAAGAAAGCAAAGTTATGATGGAGGCAGAGATTAGAATGATGTAGTTACAAGTCAAAGAATGCTGGCAGCCACCAGAAGCTGGAAAAGACAAGGAATGGATTCTCCCTTAGAGTCTCTGGAGGGAGTATAGCCTTGCAGACACCTTGATTTTGACTGAGTGATACTAATTCTGGACTTCTGGCTTCTAGACTATAAGAGAATAAATTTCTCTGTTTGAAGCCACCCAATTTATGGTAATTTATTACAGCAGTCTCAGGAAACTAATACAGATTTTGGTGCCAGGATGTGGAGTGCTGCTATAACAAATACCTAAAAATGTGGAAGTGGCTTTGAAATTAGATAATGGGTAGAGGCAAGAGGAATTTTGAAGTGTGTAATAGAAGAAGCCTAGATTGCCTTAAACAGACTGTTGGTAGATATATGGATGTTAAAGGAAATTCTGGTGAGGGATCAGAGAATGAGGAGCACATTAGAGAAAGCCTATATGGTCTTAGAGGATACATATATTGTCATAAGTGGAATGTAGGTAGAAATATGAATGTTAAAGGTGCTGGTGAAGGCTTAGAAGGAAATGAGGAACATGATAATTGGAAACTGGAGGAAAGGTGATCCTTGTTATATTGCTGCAGAAACTTTGCAAAATTGTTTGCTACAGTTTTGTGGAAAGCATAACTTATAAGCATTGATCTTGGATATTTTGCTGAGGAGATTTCCAAGCAAAGTGTTGAAGGTACAGCCTGGTTTCTCCTTGATGCTTATAGTGAAGTGTGAGAGGAAGGAGTAACTGCTAAAATAAAAAAATGAAAGAAAGAAAAGAAAGAAACCAGGACTTGATGATTTGGGAAATTCTGTCTATCCAGATTACAAAAAAATGATAAAATTAGGAAATTCACTCTTAGGAAAGCCTGCTGTGGAGAGGGTAAGGGTGTGGCTGGACAACCTTTTGCTAGTGGTGAGGGGATTGTATATGATTCATGGATCCATTCAGCCATCACAGCAGAAGCCAGGAATAGAGATGAGATTATTCAAGAAAGATCTGTGGAGGACTATCTTGTCTAATGACATGGATCCCTGTGTCATACACAGGAGACTCACAAGGGTTTGGGAAATGTTAAGTCAGCAGAAACACTGCCAGTTTGGACTGAAAGGGCAGAGACAGAATGAAATGAAAAAAGGCTGTCAGGCTCCCAAAATTCTATAGGCAGGAAACATGCTTATAAAACTGCTCATCTGCAAACATATGGCTACCTTTCAGCAAAAACAAAGAATGACTTTATGGTGGCAACTACAGACCCAGAGGCCTGACATCAGGCCCACAGGCTGGAGTCATGGATACAGAGGCCAGAGCCATGAGTGTAGAGGTTGGAGCTGCAGGTTCAGAGGATTTTTCCCAGGCTTTGAAACCTAATGGAATTTTCCCTGCTGGTTTTCAAAATTGCTTGAGACCAGTGATCTCTTTCTTCTTTCTATTTTCTCTTGTTTAAAAATGGGAATGTCTGTAACTGTTATCTTATGCCTATTCTATCATTGCAGTTTGGAAGCAGATAACTTGTTTTCTAGTTTCACAGGAAAGTAATACGTATAAAAATTTTCTAAATGCATCCCAGTCTTCCTAACAAATCTCATGCTCTGATTTAAAATTGACTTTTTCCTAAATCTCAGCCCTTCTCCAATGCCCTGCCCCAATTTATTGTCTACAAAATCCTTGTTTCTCAGATTCAGTCCTTAAGAGAATGCAATCCAAAATGCAAGTGTGTATGCCAAGGCGATGCCCATAATGAGCCAATGTGGTGCATAAAGCAAACTATTAGAAACAATAGCAAAATAACATCAAGATAAATCTAATTCCATTTGTTTTTTATCTCATCCTTTTAAAATTTTAACTTTGCATACATTTTATCCTATAGTTACACATGTATATAGTTTATAAACTAATTGATAAAGATATATTAGTGTCTTAAAACACTTTTTTTTTTAACCAATAGGGATGTACAATCAAAAAATTTTAGAGATCACTGTTCTAAAACATGAATGTTACTGAATCATATTGTCAAGCAAGGTTCAAACCCCTGTTGCCTGTATCTAACCCTGTTTTGAAATCAATCCTTAGCTTCTAATAATTAAATAAATAGCTTAGCTTCTATAAAATGGCTCACAGAGACCTTTAAATTTGTTATCTTTTTCAGTGTAACATTCTTAGAGTTTATCATTTATCTTTTTCTACTTGTAAGTATTGGGAGTATACAATGATCTGTTACTGAGATATACTTTAAGTATTTAGTAAATATATAACATGAAAGTAATGCTTATTTGGTAGATTAGCATCTTATAGACTTTACAGTTTCAGCATTAATATATGAAGATATTAACTAAAGCTGATATGCTGTGTGGGAGCATATGCTAAGTGATATGCTGGAGCTGGCTCATACTGTTTTATGAGAGCCAATTATGTACATCTCTTCTCCATTCCAGGCAGCAGCCTGAAATTGGCCGTGTTGGGAGCATTTACACCTTGGAAAAGGGCAAATGCTACAAATCAGGGCTTTCTTTTTTTCCCCCAACCCCACCCTGGGAACTTGTTTAGCACTAAGGTTTGTGAAGACGAATTGCAAATCATGCTGTGGAATGTGAGACTTTCAAATTGTGAAAAAGTGTTATATGGTAAAATACATTTCAGAAATATTCCATATAGAAATGTATTCTCTTTGTCAGAGTCACAATATATGTTAACATTCTAAAATCTCCAATAATTTATCTGTGAAGAAAGGTGTTTAACTTTGTATAACTTAGCATTTCCAAAATTTTATAAGTACTTGTATGTTCATGAAACTTATTTTTGTGTTACACCTATTAATAGCCCATTAAATTAGTGTTTTGCAGAGCACTCTTTGAGAAAGATAGAGATAGATTATATTTATTACTTACTGACTTCAAATGTGTTTTATTTTCAGCCCTTCCAAGGTGACCCTGCTGGGGTCAATTATCTTCACATTCCAGCACACAAAGCATCTGGCAATATCAAAGCATAATCTTATGTTCCTTTATACCATCTTTATTGTGGCCACAAAGGTAAGAGTTCAAAGTATCTGTGATCAGTATTACAAATCCTGTATAACCATTCCCCTTTGAAGGAATCCTGCATACTGGGCAAGTAAGAGGAATATTTATTTTTTATTGTTATTGAAATCCAAAAAGATAAATTTGGGGGGTTTATTCAGCATATTCATGACTTTCTGAACATAGCTTTTCTGTGATTCCTCATTTGCTTTATGCCGAGGCTATCAGGAAACACTTGTAGGTAGCCTAGTAGTATATTGGAGGACAGAGAGTAGTGGAAATAGCCAAGGCTGATCAGAGACTGCAAAGATAGTGTTGTCTCATTTGTAAAATGAGGTACTTGGGGTAGATGTTCTCTCAGTTTTCTTTAAGCTCTGAAGTTTTAAGATTTTATGTTAGGATATACTTGTGGTCAGTCTCTTCTAGTATAATTGCCTTGGTGGAAGGTTTATTATTATTACTTCTTGAAGATAGGAGGTAGTATGGTGTAAGATCACAGGACTAGAGACAGGCAGTTTTGGGTTCAAATCTTAGTTTTACTGTCTGTATAGGCAAGTCACTTAATGTCTCTGAATAACAGTTTTCTTATCTTCATTGTATGACTGTTGAGAAGATTGGAGATGATACTTGTCATTCTGTCATTGTGTCTGGTACATCTTATGAATTTTATTTGTAGCTGTATCATGAGGCTAGTTCTGATTATTCTTATCATTATTAGGTATTATTCCCTATTCACAAGTAGACAATTGATTTTAGGATAAGATTATTATTTAAGCCTAGGGAATTTTATGGCTAACTATTTCGAACTAGATATTTTTGGCTTAAAAGTTACCTGCAGAATTCTTAAGAGGAAAACAGTAATATGTTGTACAAATCTGTATGTTAGAAAAAAACCAAGCCACCGTAGGTATCATTTATTTTTGCTTCAGTAGTCTGCAGTGGCTGTAATTCACGTACTTCAGATATCTGAGGCAAAATCTCTTCACATGTGCTGTCCTCTTCCAGTCCTCAACTTTTAAGCTGTATCAATTTTTTTCTAACAGCTTTATTGAGATATATTTTACATACCATAGAGTTTACCCATTTAAAGTATACAGTTGAATGGTTTTTAGTATAATCACAGAATTGTGCAGTTACCACCACAATCAATATTAGAACATTTTTATCACTCGAAAAGAAACCTTATACCCATTAGCAGTCACTTCACATTTCTTCCAATACCCCCAACTGTAGGTCATTTATCCATTCATCATTTGATGGACACTTTGGTTGTTTTAATTTTTGGCTAATATGAATGATGAGCTATAAACATTCATGTAAAAGTTTTTGTGTGGACATGTGATTCATTTCTCTTGGGTATATCATCTAGGAATGGAATTGTTAGATCATTTGGTTGTTCTATGTTTAATCTTTTGAACTGACAGAGTGTTTTCCAAAGTTGCTGCATCGTTTAATATTACCACCAGCAATGTAAGAGAATTCCAGTTTCAACACATCATCACCTCCGTGTTTTGTCTGTCTGTTTACTATAGCCATCCTCGTGGGTGTAAGTGGCATTTCATTGTGGTTTTTTACTTGATGACTAATGATGCTGAACATCTTTTCATGTGCTTGTTGGCCATTTGTATATCTTCCTTGGAAAAATGTTTATTTAGAGCATTTGCCCAGTTTTAATTGGGTTATTTGTCTTTTTAATGTTGAGTTGTAAGAATTCCTTATATGTTCTGGATACTAGATCCTTATCAGATTTAAGATTTGCAATTATTTTCTCCCATTCTGTGAGTTTTCTTTTCACTTGACAAGTGTCCTTGGAAGCACAAATTTTTAAAATTTGATGAAGTCCAATTTATCTATTCCTTGTTATGTGTACTTTTCGTGTCATTTATAAGAAACCATTCCCAAATCCAGGCCATGAAGATTTACCTCTATGTTTTCTTCTAAGAGTTTTATAGTTTTAGCTCTTACACTTAGTTTTAGCTCTTATATTTAAGTCTGTGATCTATTTGAGTTAATTTTGGGTATGGTATGAGGAAGGGTGCAACTTTTCTCTTTTGCATGTGGATATCTAGTAGATAAGCTAAAATATGACATTTTTATCTGGAATGTCTTTGGCTGTTTTGGGCTATGTCAACTTCACATTGTCCCATCAGAGATGATTTGAGAAAAGTTTGAGAAGCATGAATTATCTGTTAGGTGCTTAGTATGAGTTATTGTGAAATAGAGTTATTGTGAAATAAAGCAAAGGGAATGGTCAAGAATGATTGAAACTGAAAAGAGGCTGTTGAGTTTTGAAATTAAGAGGTATTTGGTGACCTTGGTAAAAGCAATTTCAGTGGATTGGGAGGGGATAGAAAAAGATTCTAATCATTAAGTGAATAAGAGGAAGTGAAAATGAAGAGTATAAACTATTTTAAACAAATTTGGAGGGAGTGTAAACAGGAACGGAACTTGGGAGAGCAATTTGGCAATATTTGACAAAGTTGAAGATTCACATATCTTGTGACCTATTAACTCCATTTCTAGGTATGAGGAATAACGTTGTTTCCTAAGGTGTAGTACAGGACTCAACTTCATCAGGATCACTTTTAAAAAATGTTTTAATGAAGTAGTATTTAATATTTATTTACAAAATACTTACGAATGTGCTTCTTTAAAATTTAAAAAAAATCAACTTTATGCAAGTATAGTTTATGTATAATAAACTATATTCAGTCTAGGAGTATGAGGGTACTTGAAAAAGGTTGTGGAAAAATGGAATTAAAAGATAACATGTGTCTTTCCATGAACTTATTGAAGACCCCTAGCACATTTCGATGAGTTTGGACAAACTTGTACATCTGGGTAACCACCACCACAGTCAAGGTATGGAACATTTCTATTATTTCAAAAAGTTCCCTTGTGCGCTACCCCAGTAAAGCCCAACCACTACCTGTAATCCCAGGGTACCATTTATTTACTTTCTATCACTATAGATTAGATTTGTCTTTTCTCTAGTTTCATATAAATGGAATCACATAGTATGTACTCTTTTGTGTCTGGCTTCTTTTGTTCAGTATAATGTATTTGACATTTCCCCATGTTGTGGCATATTTCTTTTTATTGCTAAGTAGCATTATATACCTCAATTTCTTTATCCAGTAAACTGTTGATGGATTTGGGACTGTTTCAGCTTTTGATTATTTGAATAAGTTTACTATGAATAAAGTTGCTATGGACATGGGTACTTTGTGTGGACATATGTTTTCATTTCTCTTGGATAAATAACTAGGAATAGAATTGCTAGGTCATATGTAAAGTATATGTTTAACTTTCTAAGAAACTGACACACTGTTTTCCAAAATGGTTGTACCATTTTACATTCCTACCAGCATTGTATGAGAGTTCCAGTTGTCCTAGATCTTTGCTAATATTTGGTATTGTCAGGCTTTGTTTTTTTTTTAAACTTTAGCCATTTTATAGGTATATAGTGGTATCTCATTGTAGTTTGATTTTGCATTTCTCTGATGACTAGAGTTTTGAGCATCTTTGTACATGATCTTGTCTATGATAAAGACAGTTTTACTTATTCCTTTTTAATAAACTTTAGCCATTTTATAGGTATATAGTGGTATCTCATTGTAGTTTGATTTTGCATTTCTCTGATGACTAGAGATTTGAGCATCTTTGTACATGATCTTGTCTATGATAAAGACAGTTTTACTTATTCCTTTTTAATCTGATGTTATTATTTATTTTTTAATTTTTATGTTTTTGGCAGCTGGGTGGAACAGGGATCCAAACCCTTGACCTTGGTGTTATCAGCATTACACTCTCTCAAGTGAGCTAACTGACCAGCCCTAATCTTGATGTTATTTGGCTAGAACCTCTAGTACAATGTTGAATGAAAATGGTGTGAGTGGATGTTTTTGTTTTGTTCCTGAACTTAGTGGGAAAACACTTAATTAGCCTTTTACCATTAAATATGATGTTAGCTATAAATATCTTATAGATGCCCTTTATCAGGTTGAGGAAGTTCCCTTCTATTCCTAGTTTGCTGAGAGTTTTTGTCAAGAATGGGTGTAGAATTTTGTCAGATGCTTTGTTCTTCATCAGTTCATTGTGTGTCATATTTTTCTGGGAATTTTAAAATGGTGTAACTTGAGATATTATATAAAGAATGTGGCAGTACTTTAAACAGTTCTTTTTTCTTTTTCCTGATTGCTTGAATTAATATGAACTTTAACAGCAATTTGTCTAACTCCATAAAAAATATTTGGTATTTTTATCGAGATTGTATGAAATTTGTAAATTAGTTTGGGAAGGCAGTTTTACTACATAGGAAGAAAAGTATAGAGTGAGACAGGAGCAAGGACAGAGCCATGAAGTTCTCTAATATTTAGAGAAGGAAGACCTAGAATGGGAAACTGGAAAGGAATGGTTGATGAGTTAAGAGGAAAACCAAAAGATGGTTTTAAGGAGGATGGTTTGGTCACTTGTACTGAATGCTGTTGTGAGGTGTATTCAGATAATGTATTGTTGAATACGTGAGTGAGGGACACTTTTCTTACACCCTTTTGGGGATACAAATAGTCATATAAGCTTTAAATAAAACTCAAACTCTGTCTTCAAGATATTATTGTCTATAAAGGAATATGAGGACATGTACACTCTACTTTTAAACTTTATGCTGATAGGGACTAAGTTTGCTTCATTCATCACTGTATTGTGTCTGGTGTATGTAGTCAATTTTTAATATGTATTTGTGGACTGGTAAATGACCAAAATGCTCTTTCATAGGTCTGTCTGTATTTAATTCTTCCACACTTATTTATCTAAAGATATAGATCAGAAATGAGCAATTCATTTGCCCAGTTTTTTGAAAAGGACCTATAATAAAAAAGTAAACCCTAAGTTTTCAATTTATTTGAGTCATTTAGGTTAATAATTATTGATGTCTGAGTGAGTTACATCACCTATGGAGAAAGCATAGAACAACCAGAAAACGTGGTTGAATATGCCTTGTGCCATCAGGGGTTCATTGTAGGGGAAGGTGACTTTCATTGGAAGACATTGATGAGGTTTAATGGAATAGACACTTGAGTTACACTGCAAAGGATTATTTGGAATTAGGTGGAGACAGGAAAAAATATGTTCTTGGTGGGGAGAGAGTTAATTATGCAAATTTTACTAATATAGATATATTCTGGTAGGCTTTAAATTATTCCTGTGAGGTAGATGTTATATTCATTCATTCATTCATTCATTGTATTCTCAATGCTAGGCACTATGTAGGATATAGAAGTATGTAAGTACCATTTGTACCTTTATCAGCACCACACTCTCCCAAGTGAGCCATGGGCCGGCCCACCATTTGTACCTTTAAAGAACTTACATTGTGTGTCACATTTTTCTGGGCATTTTGAAATTGTGTAAGTTGAGATATTATATAAAGAATGTGGCAGAACTTCCAAACAATTTTTTTACCCAAATTTTATATTTTAGGATATGTTGAAAATACCAAATTATCTTTAGGGCTTCTATTTTCTTTTGTTTCCTTTCCTTTTTAAGCAAGAGACCATGAAGCCAAATGCTATTTAACTTAGGTAACATGCTTTTTCTTTTAATAGTTGGCTAAATAAAGAGACAGTTTTATATTTTGTTTGTAAAATATAGGAATTCATTCTATTTAGCACAGTTATATTTCTGTCACCTTACTAAATCAAGGCCTGAAATGAGGCTGAATTCACAGCATTTTGGCCTTGAACCTCATAGGTCTTTTTCAGCAGTAATTTCTAATGCCAGCAGTACTTCTTCACTGAGTGATGAGTCTGTTGGGAGTGGGGATTGTATTAAAATACTCGACTTTGAAAAATACTTATTATAGTTCTTGTTCTCAGGAAATAACTTAAACCCTGACATTCTTCTCTTTTGGATTTTGTAAAAAGACAATTGCTGTTTTCCTGATAGTAGACCATTGTTTTTGATCTGAATTCTTTTATATTTTATTAGCAGTCCATTAAGTCAAGCTATATGACCAAGATAATTATGGTAGTATGTCTCATTGTAACTATTCTAAAGGATAACTTAATATAAGAAAGTTCTTCTAGGTCTTACCAAATAGTGGCATAAACTTAGAGGTTAACATTATATTCAGACTCCTTTCACTCTATATCCCTCCAAGTGCCCACATTTATATTCATGCCTTTACGTTTTACTTGTATGGTAATGACTTACAGATCTATATCCCTTACTTAAGTATTTCTGGGAAAACCTTTGTTACTGTACTTACTCTTTACTGTTTAATGATTACTGATTTACATGCCTGTCTGACTAGTCTGTAAGGTCCTTGAGGGCAGGGACAACATTCAACATTTTCTGGTGTAATGCACAAGCAGTCAGATGTAATACACAAGCAGATTATTTTAATCCTGTTTGTTAATGGTTGGTTTTATACTTTGTTAGTGCTATTATTCTCTTTCAGGTTTGCCCTTCTAGAGTGTTAGCCTTGTAGGGACTTAATTTAAACCTGAGATGTATCCCTGGGCAGTTACACCTTGGCTGACCTTGAACTCCAACCTGTCTTCTCATCACCAAACAGCTGGCTGCTGAAGAGTATATTCAACTCTTTGGCCTTCCAGCAATTGCTGTCTGCCAGGCTTTTGAATTTTCTTCCTTCTTAAGTATGTACAGTTTAGAGGTTGGTACACTTCTCTAGGGCAGATGACACATGGATTTTTGGGTTTACTTCCATGTGGTTCCCTCCTCTTTGGGCTGTATTGCTCTCAAGTCCAGATGCTTTGGCCTTCTCAGACTCCAGACTCTGTCTCCTTAACCCATTGAGACTTCTACTTTCTATTTCCCTATTCTATGAATTGGTACATAGTCTTAAAAGAAAAAGCCAGGGTGATGTGGAGCTCACTTTAATCAGCTTCCTTTCTCTTAGAGATAATAGCTCTATTAGGTTCTGCCTTTTATTGGTTGTTCTCCAGTGCCTTTTAGCAGTTGTTTTATGTATTTCTGTCTTTTATATTGATTTTGGTGAGAGACTGAGTCTGATATAAGCTATTTAGTAATGGCTGGCCTGAAGTCCATGTGCATGCATTTTTAAAAAAAATTTTGTTTATTTTTATTGAGGTCAGATTCACATAACAAAATTAGGTAGTTCAAAGTATGCATTTCAGTGGCATTTATACATTCACAATATTATGTATGAATACATTTTTAATTTATATAAATGGTAGTACACTGTAGCCCTTGTTCTGTCTCATTTTCACCTGATATGTTCTAAGAATTTTTCCCTTTTCCTTTTTTGTTTATTATTTTTAACTATTGCATAGTATACATTTCACTTTATATTCCTTCTGTGGTGAACATCTACTTTTTCCCCAACTCTCCACTCCCTAGACTGTGTTGCAGTTAATAAGAATTTATTCTTGATTCCATTTTTCCCAAGTAAGTGGATTATGTAGATTTTTTTTTGTTTTGGTTTGTTATGTTTTCTTTAGAAATTTGATTCCAAAAATTTCTAGTTTGTCCAACTCTCCACTCCCTAGACTGTGTTGCAGTTAATAAGAATTTATTCTTGATTCCATTTTTCCCAAGTAAGTGGATTATGTAGATTTTTTTTGTTTTGGTTTGTTATGTTTTCTTTAGAAATTTGATTCCAAAAATTTCTAGTTTGATTCATTATATGTGATCGGGAAGAACTGACTCTTGGAAATTCCTGGACTTTTTGGAACTATTTTGGATCTTAAAGTTCTCCCCCCAGGTTTTGCACCAATCCAATTTCTTGAGCAAATCTAAACACCTCTGAGCACTGTGCATTTTGCCAGATAAAGGATTGGGAATACTCTCCATGCTACCTCTTGGTGTCTCTGTTCCTTATATATAAAAATGTATATGGAAAAAATTGGGTGATAGAGGCTTTCTATAGTTCCTCTTAGGTGCATTATTTTGCAATTCACTGAAAAGTCTGTGACTTTAGATAATGATAGACAGTATTTGACAGTAATTGAACTTAGACAGTAATTGAACTTAAAATCAGGGTGTTGCAAACTCCTTTGCCATTTGATAGCTTTGTGACTTTAGGCAAATTACTTAACCTTTCGGAGCCTCAGTTTCACATCTCTATGGTGAGGGTAATAATAGAGTAGTGGTATTGAATTTAAAGAGAATAACAATGTAGTCCTTATCATAGTTCTGTCATGTTAAGTACATAGTAGTGGTAGCTGTATTGGTCATTTGATGTAGACTGCAGATGATATTTTATCTTAGTCCCTTTGAATACTAAATGTATTTTTGTGAAAATGGTATAGGGTTCATTTGGCATCAAAAAATATGGTACCTTGTATTATTTTTAGTGAGTTACTTTATTTTCCATTAAGTATGTGTATAAGCTCATAAAGAACAGGGATTTTCCCTGAATCTAGCTTATTTTGCTGCTTCTCCTGCAGATTAAATTAGTTTTGAGAAACAGAAAGCATTTTTACTTAAATTCAAAATGGAATTTTTTTCCCTCCAGATAGCCATGATGATTACAGAGACTTCTACTGTGACTTTTGCTCCTTTTGAGGATACATTGAGTCGGATGCTATTTGGCTGGCAGCACCAGTTTCCATCACATGAAAAGAAAAGCAAAACCAAATCAACTTCCAATGGCACTGGTTCAACGGCCTCAAAACCTACAGCGGATGCTTCAGATAAGGTCAAAAAGAAGCATACTAAGAAGACTGAGTAAATTTGCTTGAGGAGCTATAGAAGACAGATTTTTTTTTCTTTCATATCTACCTGGCAGATTGTGATTATATTACTATGTAGATGATGTGAAATAAAGATTATATATTATGGAGGTGACAAAAAGAAATTCTTTGTGTTTCAGGAAGACTACCCCTTTCTGGATTGTAATTCTTGAGTGTTATGAGTGTATAATGTGAATTTGTTTTTCTGATTTAAAAGATTCTGTTGTGCTTAAAATTTGAATAGTTTTATATTGATAAAAGAAAGCTTTATTTTTTTAAATGTTAGAGAAAGTAGAACTATCACTGCAAAATAACAAACATGTAAAGCTTTTTTGAAATTTAGGTATTTTTGTACATATTTTTTATTTGAATCTATTTGAGCTTTAGTTTAACAGAATCAAACTTTTACTTCAGTTTACCATTATAATTCCTAGGTATGGAAAACAATTTCTATATAAATTTGAACACTGACAAGGTAAACTTTTCCTAAAACACTTTAGTATTATAAATGAATATGAATTGCTATTTTATATTTCAGATATACACATTGTATTTTTATCCACATTAAATGGTAAATATGTGAAATTTTATTTAATTTTATTTCTAATAGTACTTTTCTACTTCTCAGCGAGAACAGAGTATTAGTATGTGTCAATCTGAAGTATGTATCAGGGGCTGGCCCGTTAGCTCAGTTTGGTTAGTGCATGGTGTTGTAATGCCAAGGTCATGGGTTCAGATAGCTATACTGGCCAGCCACCAAAAAAAAAAGTTTATTTTGTGCCCTTGTTAAAAAAAAACTAGTTTGTTTTTTTTTCTCAAAAGAAAATCAGGGTATAATTTTTAATAAATTACTAATTCCATGTTTTGTTTTATAATTTTCATTTATTTCATTAAATATTCATTTTCGTTTTCAGCTTATTTTTCCTTTCTCTTTAAAATACATTCGTTTTAACTGAAGGAGAAATTATTATTCTCAGAATTTCACATGTTCTTTTTCTTATCTTGGTTGGTCTGAATACATCGGTGGTAGTTATCATAATAGTGCAACAAAAAGTATTATCTCAATTTAAAAATTTTCTGTCTGTGTCTTCTTACTAGTGGCTACTTTTTCAGTTTTGTATTTGAATGTCTCTTACTAGTTTCTACGTGGTTATGTTATATTTTAATCTACATGTACATATTGTTATTAATTTTATTTTAAATGAAAACTAGTTATTTTCATATGAAAATGCTTGGCTCTAATGAGAATTGCCCTTGGACATTTCATAGTAACCAGCTATCTAAGAAGAAATAGAGAAAGGAAAATCTCATATGGTAGTCCATTTGAAGATGGATGACATTCTGGTTCCTTATTAAACAAGAAAAGGTACTAAATGATGATAGATTTTTTTTTTGCTTTATTTTATGGTTTAAAAATCTAGTTGTAACATTAAAACTCTGCAACATGATTTCTTTTACAAAACCGTGGACCTACTACCTGTATCAGGTATTTTCGGATGACTTAGAAATACTCAAATCACATTCGAATTAGAAGTTTGGACTTTTTAAAAAATTTAACAAATATGAGTATAAATGCCAGCAGGTACTATACTTTTATTTGTTTTTTAAAAAGAGGTTTTGGGAGGGAGCACTTTTGATAGCCTTGGAATGCCAAGAAGTTTATTTTTAATATTGTGACAGCATTTAAGAGTTTTATATTATATTTGATACTCTTGAGGTTAAAAACTTTAAAAATTAACATGCTATTAATTATTGACCAGTGTTGAAGTTTGGTTTTAGCTATATTTGAAATAGTAGGAATCTTGTTTTGCACTTGTATTAAAAACAAATTTATTAAAATAAGTCATTTAGCACCAGTGGAGTATTACATTATTTTTATGTTTTTTAAAAAAAAATATTTTTCTTGAGGTAGGAGTTCAAGAACTCCTCTGGCTTTTTTACTGAAACAGTATACATATTCAGTAATTTACCAAGTGAGACAGTGGCACAAACTTTATTAATATATGCAGGTATCCTGTAACTCTCAATTCAAGGTTCTTAGTAAAAGCTGTACTGGATAACACAGCTTAGGCCTGCAACCTCTCACCCTGAATCTACTCACGTTGCCTGCAGAGACTTGACTTGGAGTTAGACTCTTTACCCAGGAATGAGGCATGAATGAGGCCTGTAGACTTGCCTCACACAGCCAATGAGAGGTGGCACTGAGAAAGTCAAGATGTGGTAAGTCTTCTTAAAAAAAAAAAGGAGACAAGAAGCTGGAAAGAACATGGGCCAGTTTACTGCAGTCAACTCACCCTCTAATAAAATGTGGCCAAATGACTATCAAACTGATCAGATTAGTCACTCTTCCTTGCTGAGAAAGTATCAAGTAAGGGCTGGAGAGAGACCAGATATTTGGGGTGGGTGAATTTCAGTGGAAATCAGATTAGTCACTCTTCCTTGCTGAGGAAGTATCAAGTAAGGGCTGGAGAGAGACCAGATATTTGGGGTGGGTGAATTTCAGTGGAAATGCTGGCCTCTCTGTGGGCAGAGACCAAAAAGTAGAGAGATGAGAGAAAAGGAGAGGCACTCGTTAGAATTTTTTTTTTTCTTTTTTTCTTTTTGGTCTCTTTCTTTAAGCCCAGACATCTCTCTATTAAAATCTACTTCAAGTCACAAGTTGATTGCAATTGAGTGGAATGTTAGAAATAGAATAATATGTTCAAGAATGTTCTCCCTCCCTCATGCAAAGCCCCTTATAGTGTTTGCCCATAAGTATAATTCATATCCTTGGTGATGTTTATTCATTTGTTTATTCAACAAATACAGAGTTCTAGTTATGGGTCAGGCTCTGAAAAAGTAGAAAACAGGAAAATGGCCTGCTCTTTTGGAGTTTACAGTCTAGTGGTAGAGAGACAGATAATAAACAAATGAGTTATTGTGGTGATAATAAAGGTTATGAATAAATATGAAGCAGGATCTAAGGATAGAAAATGAAGGAAATGGAGTTGGTTTTTTTTTTGGTACCCCCCCACTTTTTTTTTGAGTTGTTTGTTAAAATAGGATTGTTAGGCCTTTCTATAAAATTCATATTGGCAGAGACCTGAAAGACGAGAGGGAGCAAGCCATGTAGACATCTGGGTAAGTGCAAGGGTCATACTATTCCTTTATATGCTTGAATTTTAGATGATTTTGTTTTGAAAAGTCGGGCCAGCCCTGTAGGATTTTTTTTTATATATCTTAAACATCCTTTGATAAATATTTTGTATATGTCTTCCTGCGCTGTGGCTTAACCTATTCATTTTTATAATGATGTCTTTTAATGAACAGAAGTTTTAAATTTTGAAGTAGTGTAATTTCCCAATATTTTCTTTGATAGTTATTGCTTTCTGTGTTTTAAGAAACTTTGCCTATCCCCAAGTCATGACGATATATGCCAATCTGAGGAACACCAAATAAAAGAGTGCCTAGAGACAACTAAAAGAGAAATACTTTATATTGTATGTAAAGCAGTAATTCTGTTACTCACTCAGGCCTAATTTTTGGTTCTGTTTCCTGAAGATCATTGTATGCCTTATATATGTGGTCACTTTTTCTGTACTTGTGCTATAGGCTACAGGAATTTAGGGTGTTTCTATTTATGTCCTTGAAAGGGCTTTCTGTGGGCAGGCTTGACCTTGGTTTATCACAATTCTGGTGTTTGGAAGAGTGAATAAGAATGTGATGATAGCAAGTATTTAAAAAATAAAGTACATTTTATATAAGCTCAGTGTAGTTACAGGGTTAAAACAAAGTTGGTTGGGAAGATAGTGGTTCATACTGAAATATATGAATTAAGTGCATATTTGTAGTGACAATGTGGACTAATGATTTGGTATGTGTATTAGTCCATTTATGTTGCTATAACAAAATACATGGAACTGGGTATTTTGTAAAGAAAATGAAATTTATTTGCTTACAGTTTCTGAGGCTGGGAAGTCCAAAGTCCATCTGGTGGTGGCAACAGTGACCCACGGG